ACAAGTCCGAATTTCAAAACTGGACGATCGCGATCGGTCGCTGTAAGTGACGGACGGTCTACCAGTCTGACTCTGCGCATACATTTTCATAGACTCGTAATGTTGGTCGATCGTGGACGGTCGGACTGGTCGAGCAGTCTTGATTTCTCCCTAAATATGGATGTCAAGTTGTTGAGGAAATTTTGGCAAACATTCTAGGGATTTAAGAAAAATCATCTGGCAACCCCAACGTGGAGTTTAGTCGTGCCGGATGGCACGTTCGGAACGTGTATAGGCCGTTTTAGACAGACGCGTGAGAATATGCCGACCCTCAGAAATTGTAGCGGGACGTTTGATGCAAAGCACGGCTTGTGGTTTGTAAGACTAGCAATTTAAATCCTTAAAATTTCTTTTGTTTCAACTAAGAACATAATATAAAAATAAAATTATTGATTTTCATAACCTAATTTCTAGTCCCTGGAAGTTTCAGTTTTGACAGCTTTGGTTACCTTATAATGTTTTAGTTCGTCGTTTATTTCTTGTTCCTTTGACCCTAATAATATACAATTGCAAGATCTTTAATGTGTCCGTTATTCCAGCTCGTTTATACTTAACTTGCCGGGATTGTCGTGATTTTGATCCGTCCAGCATTTCAGTTTGCCCAAGTACATAATAATTACCAGTCTGTAGCTAGAAGTCGGATGGTGAAAATGTCACCTTGGGGCATAATGTCACCACTAATGTAATGTATTAAAAAATTATGCAATAATAATATATGTACTATTGACGATACTATAATTCGTATCTTGAATAAAGAAATATGTTATTATTAAAAATGTAAATTCGTTACATAATATTTTGTAATATTTTTATTCGTAATACTTGAATAAATTTAACGTGTATTGATATAACGATATCAATAGATAAAACGGAATGTATACTAGAAGATAAATAACATACAGAAGGGTCTGGTTTTGTTCTTTTATTTTTATTTAACTCTATTTATTTTGTAATATTTTTATTAGCAATACATGAATAAGTTTAACATATATTGATATGACGATATCAATAGATGAAATGGAATATATACAAGAAGAAAAATAATACACAGAAGGGTTTGGTTTTGTTCTTTTATTTTTATTTAACTCAAATTATTTACAATCTGACGTTTTTGGGAACAATGCGAACTACAATTATTCCCCAAAATAAACAGTATCGATATTAAGACCACTGTGTAATTGCACTCGCTATTATGTATTTGCTATTTTTGGCTTATTCATAATTAACTGTAATATTAACATCACTCTAGTATTAAAATGGTTTATAATTTTTTTTAAATAACTAAGTGAAGTTTAAAAACGCAGAGGCTCTTCGGGGGGAGAAGAACCGTTTTACCATTATTGATCAGATCCTAAAGTTTTCAAAAAGAAGCTTAAGAAGAACTGTGAACAAAATATCATAAAAACATGTAAACATCGACTATTTTCAAATATATTTGTAATTATTCTTACCTCATTCAAATTGAACAACGACTAAACGTTGCAGATAAACGTATAAAATAAGCTTGTTCAACGAGTATCGAGGCAAATGAAAAATGGATGGTTTTTGGTCATTCATTTTAACGGTTATACCAATCTATAAATCATTCGATTTCTTAGATATAAATGGTCAAATGTCATTGTAGATAAACTACTTCACAATGAACGAATTAAGTACTATTGGGTCTCCTGTGTCCGAAGATAAGATTATCGGTTATTATTTTGTTAGAGACATCCAGGTGCTGTCAATCAATTACGCATTTTGTAAGAGATTTAATTTTGACTCTCTTGAAATATGTAGGTCTATATACCATGATTTCAACAGAACGAAACAACGAGTGATATAGACATATGCTCTATATGGCTATATAGTTCACTAACTAAAATAATTTCTCATAGAACAAACTATGAAAACCCTTCTCACTCACCTGATCTGATACCATCTAATGCCTATATTTGAAGATGATAAAGGAATTTGTGTTCAAGTCAAAATATCAGGTCAGCAAATATTAGAGAACTTTTACAAACGATAATATCCTAATAATATAATTTAAATCAACGGCATAAATGTGTCGTTTTAGTCGGCACACTTTTGCATCATTTACTCCTAACGTTGCACTCGCCCACATATTGGGGTATGGGTAATTCTTTCCTCATATAGGATCTTCCAATAGGGACTTCCAACTTTCACAGTTAATAGCGGCCGTATTGTTGAAGCTAAATCTGTCAAATTGGCTCTCATTTATTCAGCTTATTTTGCCAAATCGCCATGGATGGATATATCTAAAACACGTAGAAATAATCAAATTGCTTTATCAAAATGGGTGTTCTGTTCCGGCAACTTTATGTTTACTTAGACCATTTTATGGTCGCTATAATCGTCCTACCGATAGGTATATTCGCAGTGTGGTGGATAAATTAGAGTACACGGATTCAGTAAACAATCAATCGCAAGATCTGTGAAAACATCTCCGCTGTCCGTTAGAGTGTGCAGGAAAATCCGAGGTAGTCGATTTCACGTCGCTCACAGCCTTCCACATACCATAACTTAGCGAATTTTGCGTCGTCACTGAGCTTGCGCCCGTTCAAAAATCAACTGACATAGAGAACCCCATAAAGACCATAGACAACGACTTGTGTTCACTGAATTGGCTCTGCGTCTGGCTACCATTAAGGTAATTATCATTCTCTTGGTTATTCGTTCTATCTGCTGATTCTAAGTAACCACCACTCTAATATTACGCCAAGGTACTTCGCTCACCAGATTGATTTGCAAAATTTAGCTTAGAAGACCCCAGCTCTTCATTCTGGTAAATTTTATGATTTTGGACTTTTGGGGGCTTGTGGTAAGCCCTACATTTGAAGTCCATTATGTAAATAGGGTCATAGTGTGTTGTATTCTATATGTCTGATTCTAGTTATCAGTCAATTCATGACCAGATTCCACAAGACAGGTTCCTCCATGCAGACAGTGTATGATTATTTGTGGTTACACCGTAGCATGCTGAAGCTTATTTCTAGTCCTTTTAGACGAATCGCCCTTGTGAAAACTTGGTAGGTGTTGTCCCTCTATAACGGAAAATGCACGCAGCTTTATCTCTTGTATTTCCAAAACGTATTCCACCAAGTAATCGTTTGTACGGGCCTTCAGTGCAAATGACATTAGTCTTAGCGGTCTCAGGAACTTTTTCTTTGCCACGTTTTCCTTAGCAGTGTTGCCACCTTTGGGTATAATAGCTACCCTTATGTGCCTCCATGCTTTTTGTATGTACCCTAGTCTTAAGCCAGAGTGTAGTATCACACATACTTTGTACAGAAGGCTCAAATGAGTTTATGAGAACCATAAGCTAAGGTTTTCAGTCGAGTTTGATGCCGGTTGTCTGGTGGTATCAGTTCTGTTTTAGTCTTAGGAAAGTGCACCCCGATAAGTTCTGTCAGGGTCTATTCACCATTCTGAGTGTGTTCGCTTGATCTCTTTTGGAGTGTAGGTATACTTATCTAAGGGTCCTTGGAGAGAACTTTATGGAGTCTTGACATTACTGAAGTCTGCTTTGTATCCGCACAATGCATTCTGCACAAGTCTATTTTTGCCATCTCAGTTCTTTATTATATTCAGTCAGAAATTTGTGATGATCGCTCCACTCACCTGATCTGTGAATATAGTAATTACAGTTTAATTGTTCGTTCATCTGCAGAAAGTAAATTAAACATTAATGTTATTTGTGTGTTGTACAGTTTGTTTACAATTTTTTAAGAATATTAACTAATATACTGCTTTCACTGGTCTCAGTTGCACCTGCCTAGTAAATATAGTACCCATTTTTTGCTACGTTGGTTAAATTCTGAGAGATCGCAAAGTACTATACAACCAAGCATATAGCTAATATGAATTTATTATAACCTAAAAACAAAAAAAAATATTCACATGCAGTTTATTAACAAAATAAAACTGTTTAAATGTTTTTTAAATTGTATAATCAATTATAGATTAACATTTACATTTAAATTAATCGATAGACACTTCCATTATTTATGATTATTCTTTTTTTGATGAATGAGTATATAGTTGAATTAGTTTTTAAAATTACCAGTAGTCTGATTGTTGTTATCCAGTGTAAGATATTTTTCTTTCGTAAACATTCATCTGAAATATATTTCTTTCGACTCGCTCTACCGCTGCTACTTTAGCCGATATCTTTTCTTAGTTATTTTTCTTTTCTATTTTATTTTATATTATTGTGCTATATTATGTACTCTACTCAGGCATTTGAAGGTAACGCAACTATACCTTTGTAGTTATTTATTGAAGTCTTTAGTTAAGTGCCTATAGTTTGTATCCGTAGATATTCAATGCTTGTATGATTTGTTTTATTTGTTTCTTTTAGGGCGATTATATTCTACCGTGGCGAGCTCATACTCTCAGTTATATTTCTACCACTCTTCGTTTAATTTCCGTTGTGATTTTTCATTCGTAGATAGTAGTTTAGAGTTTTAGGCTGTATTCAGCAGCCACTTTGTACCACGGCTTAATGAGATTTTTGGTATGTTATCCGGTTCTATTTTGTGTAGCATGTATGTTTTGCCTTGATATTTTATCTTTACAAGGAAACGCTTTGTATATCCAAACGATGGCGGTCGCACCCCTCGAGCGCTTACCAATCCAAGGGGAGCGATAATTTCTGGTTCGTAGACGTGGTGAAAGTGTCGACGACTTTAGTTTCTACTGGGAGCTCACTATTATTATAAATATTTGTATTATTTAACCTGATGTGTATTTGTTTCATTCTAGCTGAAGCACACGTTTATTTTCCGTTTCCCTTTTCATTCTTTTTGGTCCTTTGAAAGTTGATACTTAAGGAGTTGCGATAAAAGATATTCTTAGCTCAATTATTTACATTTGTTTCCTTAATACATAAATTTACATGTTTAATTAGCAGTTAGTTGTTTATTTATTAAATCTAATAGAAAATATTCTTGTTGCAGCTCATAGGTTCTGCAAAGATCTGCTACGCCAGCGAACAGTCAGAAGTAAACCCCTCTCTCCGCCACATGGTTCTAAAAACAATAAATCTCACCTTTTGCCGACATATAGCCGTCAACGAAACCTTGAAATACACTCCACATCCTTCCGACCCCACCAAAACCCTTCTTAAACAAGAGGCAGTCGTAACAGTAAAGGGAGTACCTCTAACAAACTATATGGAGGATCTATTAACCACCAAAATATCAAATAACGCAGGCAAGGGTAGGCAAGCTATGGAATGGGTGATCAACAAATTAAACGATGAAGTCAAAGACTTAACAAGGAGTACGGATGAAATTTTTAGCCATACCAAAAGGTCGCTGGACGATATAGCGACCAGTGCAAAGAAGTCGATGGGGGACATCTCACAGAAAGCAAAGAAGAGCCTGGACGACATGCAAACGATGACTCTGAGCTAATTTCTTCTGTACTATTTCTTTTCGATAGTTAGCACAATTTTTTTGAATTGCTACAAGAGGAAATCGCTAGGTTATCTAATTACGTCTAAAGTCTGATTAATTTGTACGGTATGGTTGTCAAACAATAAAACTGTGACTAAATTATTGTTGTGTCATATTGATTACGCTATAATATCTTCGATTAAAGCCCCTAGTATAATTTGGAATAATAATGGGTCCCAAAGGCTCTGAAATCCTATAATCCTAAAGACCATAGATATACAATTTACTTAGTTGTTACTGTATATTATTTTATCATAATTTACGCTATTCATTAACACTGCATTGCTTATTTCAATATAATAAGTTTCATTATAATGAAACGTATGTTTCTTCTTTTATTTATGTTCAGTCCAAACTTTTTGGCTTTGTCTAGATTTTCTATTGGTTTTATCAGCTCCTTTTCAGTGACTTGAATTAGGTAGTATAAAAACTTATAACTCTGACAACCCATACGTACAACTACATCCCTTTATATTGAGATATTTTTTCCCAATAATAATCGTATATCAATGAAATGTAGTTTCCTCTTAAACATGATGTAAGTTCAAATAAGGCTCGTTTACTTGATCACTTATTATTTATGCAAGCAAAACATATGTTCTGCATATGTAGTTACCATTTTTACCATCACTGCATATCATTTTGAAAAGGTTAGATTTTAAGAAGGTTTCGTCTTTTTGTAAAACCGTGATTTGGAATTATTGCTTAGAAACTTGCTTAGTACAAGTAGTTTTACCGTTTAGTAGATTGAAGGACTCAATAATTTTAAATATTTTATAGGCGAAACTTTTGTAATCTACCCTCTGTATTAGTATCATATCACCTTTACTATTAAATATTATACATAAAATGGCAACAAAAACTCTTTAATTTTACAATATAAACTCAACTCAAACAATATATTTTTGCTAAATTATAAAATGATGTTACTATAAAATAATATAATAATAATTTTTATTTTAACATTTAAAAAGCAAAATAAATAAAGATATATACTATTTTTGTTAAAACATTAAATGCGAATTTACCCACTGATGTTTATCAGAACAGCATCGCCAATTAGCTATAGTACAGGTAAAGGTATGTGTTTTTATGACTTTGGCTTTAAAAATATAAACCTTCAATGCTAGCCGTCAAGGTTTTCGGGCACTTCGATTAATGCCGCAAAATCACCACAAAGGAAAAGGGTTGAAGAGGGTTTATAGTTGTAAAAACATTTAGAAGTCAAACGTACTTTGCAGATTATAGTTAGGTTATTTATTAGCTATTATTAGCTATTTTCTTGTATCATTTTTATATTATATACTACTTTTAATGGGACTTAACCATCATTTCAGTTAAAAATACGTTTAGTTTGACATTTCAATGTCCATTTCGGAATTTTATTTTGAACTATTTACGAAGTGTAAATAGACGCGGAATAACAAACGTATTTTCAACTGAAATTATAGTTAATTCATATTAAGGATAGTACGTAATACATGTTTATTTTTTTACTGTAGAATACTAAATTTCTGCTGTAAAATATGTTTAATCGTATTTGTCTGTCGAGATCTATTAATATGAATATATCCACTATGTCACTATGATATATCTATAATCTTGAGAAATAATATAATTTTGCCCTGGTTTTGCCATTTTCCAAGGGATCACAAGAATTTGAACCTTAGCGAAGCATTATAAACGTATAAAACGAAGCAAACCAGGAAGGCAGTTGCTTTTGTTGTCAAATTTTTGAGTGTTGACATTTCATCACGACTTGGGGCATTCTCTACTACGTGATGCGATATGTGCATTATCTACTATGATTTTCAAACAAAATTTTTGATACTAGCTTAATTATTTATTATTTCTTCTGGTGCTTTTAACAAAATTCAACTAGGCTGTTTCGATTATAACTGTGAAAAGTTATTAAGAAAAGCAATAACTCAAATTACATCTTATTTTATTAATTTTTTTCAATTCAGAATAACTTTAACTTTATTTCCTCTAATCTTGTAACTTAAACATTTTTTGTTGCCATGGGACAAATGTTATAAAAATTTGACGGCGAATAATTAAACTAAAATCGATGCATGTCCAATGAAATGAATGAAGCCAAGGCTTTTATGATTAAGAAAAAATGTTCGTCAACGTCACGCAGAATTTTCGCTGGGCTTTCACATCTAATGACAACTCTATATATGCAAAAGTATTAGCATTTACCAAATTAATGTTATAATAATTATCATGAACAATTAGTTAATCAAGCCTAAAGGAGAGTTCAATTTGAAAAGATTGGGTTTATTGTTTCTGACAATATATAGCTCTTCATATTGGACTAACTTTTAGATGCTGTAATGTCTATGTTGTACATACAATGGAAGACCATGTAATTTATTGAACATTCCCTTTAATGAATGTTTTTTACAAATTACAATATTTGTGTAACTTATTGTTGAATAAAAATGTGAAATTTCAATACTTTTTTTGTTTTTATATCTTAAAATACACTGCACGATTTTTGAAGTGGATATTTTGATTATTCCTATACGTATATTTTGTTATGAACATTGACATAAAACTTCCACCTCAAACAAAATTGAGACCAAAGATAAAATAAAGCAGAACACATAATTCCTTTGCGTCAAATCAAAATGCTATTAAAAATTAGAACCGTAAGATTACTTATTTCTTCTTATGGTACCTATCCGTTACAGATGTTGAACACTAACATGATTGTTTTGACTTTGTTGACTGCTGCCCTAAAAAATCAGATAGTGGTCAAATTAAACCATGTTCGTAGGGTATGAAACCAGGACATTCTTCCATGCACTTTACCTTGAAGTATGATCTGAAATAGGTTCTATCCTTGTTGTGGCCCAGTTATTCCAGTTTGCGACATTTTATGGTTCTGACTAGCTCACGCTGTTTACTTATTTTGTGTGGAATCTTTTCGTTGTTAACTTTGTCTATACAGGAAATCCTCAACACGCACCACATTTCAAATGCTTAGAGTCTCTTCAGTGATGGTTTAGTTAAGGTCCACGAGTCAATTCCATATAGGTCAAGGGAGAATATGTAGCATTTTAATAAACGAACTTTTACTTCTAATTTTAATCTGACTGAAAAGTTTTTTTTTTAATTTTGATGAAAGCTGATGTTGTCTGCTCGATCCTTATATTAGTTTTCGGCGAGTTTTCCACTGCTGATATAAGTGATGATTTGTGATATAAGTTGTTGGTTAACTAATAAAGTCCCGGTGCTATCCTATTTTGCTTATCCATGTATTTCGTTTTTTTTTTATGTAAAAATAAAGCCCAGACCTGCTACTTGCCACCCTGGAGATAAGCATCTACAGACATTCCAGACTCTCTGCAAAAATGACAGTGTCATCAGTTTATCTTGTATTTTTCAGGGAAAGTTTAAATATTTAGGATGCTGAATAAATGAAACTTTAGTTGTGGCATGATAAAATGGTATATACACAGTATCGTATTACATGGACTAACCATGTTAGAAATTAAGAAGTTTTAAGACATGAATAGAGGTATGAACTTCAAAAAACGGAAAACATCTTATATTGGAGATATATTCAGAGATAGAGATATAAGTTATTTCAACTAACAATGGAAGGAAAGCGTGGTTCTGATAGACGAAAAATGATCTGACTGCGTAACAGCAAGGATTGGGCAGGATTAGATCTCTACACACTAATAAGAAAAACACAGGATACAGAACTTTGCAGACGTCATCGTCAACCTATATTAGACGACACCTAAAGACGAAGTCAAAGTCTATGCCTTTCATTAGTTGCTGTGCGACATCTGGAACAATGAGGAAATGTCAGAAGACTGGAGAGTAGGTTTCATTTATAAAAAGGTGTTACAAAAAGCGAAACAGGAGACATTTCTTGGTCTTTCGAATTTGATTTCAGCTCCAGCGTCTAATGAAGCCATGGGAGGGCGAAATGACGTCATAACGCTGTGTTGATTACCAAATTAAACGCTAGAGACTGACAAATTGTGCTCCTAAGCCATATCTGTCTTTAATCCATCGAACCGATAGCAAGCTTTTGCTAGATGTAAACTTTTATACATTTCGTATAGCGCAAAGGACAGAAAACAATATTACATTGTGTTCATTCATGGCTATCAAAGTAGTTACAATTATTGTACGCTAACCATTTGAGCGGGAAATAGTTGAGCAATTTGTTGTATTTCGAGTTTTATTTTGTATTCATCTCCAACATCTGATGAAGCTAGGGGAGGCCGAAATTGCGATTTTTTTTTGGATTGGAAATACTTTTACGTATCATCAGAACTGGATGTACTGCCTGGTATGTAGGACTCCTATATTACCATACAATACCGAATAAAATCCGTCCCTTTCTGTCTCTGTTTCCCTCTCGGTACAATGTATTACTTCAAGGGGAGAGGATGTAACTATTGCTCTTCCTTTATATTGTTGAACTCATTGCTTCTCTCCTTTTAAGCCTATCTATTTTCAGCTCGGTTCCTTTCAATGCGGAAAAGATCCTGGAGGACTTCCATCGCTAATGTGCTGATTGTATCCCAATTGATTTCCCTGATCACCTTCGATGACAGCATTTTTTCTACAGAGCTCTGTGATATTCCTCCAGTGCTTTTTTATTCCTTTGGGCCATATTTCAAAATATTTGTATTATATTTCAAAAGTCGATCAGTGAAGTAGCTAGTCACTATCCTTAGATATGATCACTATCCTTAGATATGACTATACCCTCACTTCGATTAAAGCTCACATAATATAATACTTTTTCGTACCCCTCTTTCTTCTAGCCCCTGCGATAGCCTTCTTAGCTGTCTTAATGACAAAATCAATCGCATCGAGTGTTGAGTGTCCTTTTCAAAAATCATACTGATTGCTGCTGAGCATCGGTTCAACTGCTGTTTCGATTCTTTGATGGATTATCTGTTCTAATATTCTGTTGCTTCCATATGTGCGGGAAAGTACCCTCCTTGAGGCATGTATTGTAAACCTACAGGAACATTGCCGGTGATTCCTTGATGGCTGCTTTTAAAGCGATAATTGGGAATCCATCTAAGTCCGGAACTTTATTATTTCCTACTCTATTACACACCCCCATCAGTTGATCTCCTCGATTGGATGATAAATGGTGTCGGCATTAAATGGATTCTCATGTGAGTGATGGCCTGCTCCATGGATCATTCTCCACCTCATTAATAAGTTCCATCCAGCATTGCCTTTTGCTGTCTTTGATTGCATTGTTTAGTCTTCTGCGGGCGTTCTTGTGCTCTGTTACTAGATCTGCAGAGTTTTGTTGTTTCCAGTCACGCTGAAAATCTCTTCTGGTTTTTAGGCACTCTTTACGTAGAGCACTTATGTGGTCATTCCACCAGTGTACCGGTAAACGTTGGTTTGTGCTGCTTTTTAGAGACATACTTGCGAATACGACTCTTCATCAGTTTCTCGGTCTTATTTTCAGCGTCTACAGCGGCGATTCGGTCGCCATCTAGATCGAAAGATTTTACCCTCAAACCAACTGTATTAGTTCGCATATGTCTGCTTCCGGTACTCTGTTCTATGTATATACTTTCCATAATAACGCATTATGGTCACTGGGTGTGTAAGTATTAAATAGGTATTCTTTCCTTCCAAGAATAGTTCCTCTTAACGAGTCAGGTGCTGATAAAAGTGAGATCCACAATGGAACTTGCTCATCCTCTAATAAATGTAGCTGTATCACCACTGTTCATCAAGACACCGTCTAGCGTTGCCATAATAACACTTTGCCCCCACATTAGTTTTCTTGCTGTCACAATCCACTGCCCAGCTGTTGAAGTCTGAGGCTAGCGCCACGGGAAAATGTGTTTCGCATCCTCAGTCAGTCGATCGATAAAGTCAGTAAACTCACTGAGTAGGAGACGAATCGGAGCATTGCAACTGTAAAAATGGATACCGTCTACCTTTGCCATTATCGAGCCAGCTTCTGTGTTCTTAACCACGTTCTGAAAAGGTAACTTGCCACAGTACCAGATGATATGATTCTCGCAATGATATGATTGCGACCTGCTGGATTTGGTACTGTTCTCCAGCCGCATTTTGTAGCGCTAAAAGGATTTCCTCTTTCATTGCCAAAATATCCAGATCTCGAATTTCCAGACATTGCCATACTTTACTGATGATAGTAGCGTCATTTTTGAGAAGGTCGGTAATAGTTTTCTCTGACCTTAGACCTCCATCAGTATTCTGCTTAGTTAGGATAATCAAAAGGTTTCCAGTAACTATCCTCTGAATCTTATCAACTGTGGAACGGACCTGTTCGTCAGGGATGCCCATTCTTGATTAAGTAAAGTATCTCAGCATATTTTACCTTTTCTATCGAGCGAATTATAATTCATTGGGTTTGGTGGCTAATCTACGTGGCTTTTTCTGCTTAGTATACTGTATTCTTCATGGACCTCTTCTTCCTTCCACTTTCACTTTCATTATAAGTCGTAAGAAGTTGTATTTTCTCCTCTGTAAAGTTGTGTAGTTTCGAAAAATGTACTTGTGCAATCCAAAAGAAGCACTTTTAAACGTTTTAGATTGTTTTTTATGTGAAAGTTTAAATTCAGTGTTTCTTATGCATAATTCAAATGCCTCATATTTGTTGCCAAAACTCAAAACAAAATTCCATGCAATAGGTTTTGAAGATTAGGCGCTAACAGCGGAAAGTGGAAATTGAAACGTCAATAAACGTATTTTAACCTTTAATTGAGGCTTATTCCCAGTTAAATAGTCATTAATTTAAAATGCCACAAGAAAATAGATTTAGAACATTATGGAGTAAATTATTTTAAATACATTTAAAGTGTTATTCATTATTAGAAAAACCAAACTTCATAATCTATGCCATTGATTAATTTTACGAAAGGTGATATTAATGTTTAAATTAGAATATAATAGTTATTTAACCAACAAGTGTATTAATAAGGGCGAATAACAATTGAGATATTTTAACGTGTGAGCGGAGCGAGCGCGTTAATGTTCGAGATTGTTAATCGCCATTTTAATTCACGAGTTCGTTACAAAACTTTTCCGTTGACCGTACTTTTCAGAAATAAGGATAATTTAGTTTAAATTTTTATTTACTTAACGATAAACAACAATTTTTTCAGCTTTCATTAACTTTATTCAAAGTTTAATTTTCCTTAGTGATAGTTATATTATTGTAAACATTAATATTCGAAATAGTACAATTACTGAAATTAAAGGAAGGTATTGATAAATGATTATCTGCTGTATAGCATTTTGACAAATTGTAAAGTAAATTCTGTGATAGAAGAAGAAGCGGTGATGCTGAAGGAAGTACTTTGACAAAGTTTAGTGATATTTTGTCCCAAGAGTTTTTCAGCCGTCTCAAGTTTATTCTGCATATAATTATTTATATAACGTTCTGCTACAGCAGTCGATTTCTAGCCACCTAGTCTTTTAATAGCTGAAAAGTCTGCACCACTGTCACACAGTATTAAGTCAGAGGAACGTCTAAAACAATGCCCAGTGTAGAGATGCGGGTGCTCTAATTTTAAGAATGTAGCAATAATTGAAGGAATACGTATTTATGCCAACTGGCTGTGTGGAACATTTGTTATTTTTATAAAAAATGAAAAATCGTTTATGTGGTGTGTGTGCCAGTCTTAAAAAAATATAGTTTTTGATCGCATTGAGAATGATATTTGCTTCATTAACTACTATGGTAAATATTCTATTTGTGACATTTGTGTGTGTTTTTGATACTTTTATTGTGACAATAAATTTTGACCCCAAGTCTTGAACGTTATTTGTTTCTAATTTCAATATTTGTCCATTCTTAATTTACCAGCCACTCCGAAAATCAATGTGTTTGGAAAAGTATGTATTATTTTGTTTCATATTTTTACATTTAATATTTTTCTGTTACGGTACTGTAATGTGATCTCATTAAATGCTGCATTCTAAAGACCTTTTTAAAATATATTATTTCCTGTTATTTCGTAAAATTGTTACTGGATATCTCATTTATTATGTTTCAGTACGCAGACTTTGGCTTTCTCCTTTGTATTCGGTGTCACAAAGATTGAAACAAGTGTAAGATTTCGTATTAACTTTAAACAACCGTAACAATTAACTTTAAATTATCGCCATTCAAAATCGTCCGACAATAGGGTTGATTTATGGCATGCTCTTGCACACGAGCTGTTGACCACCCAACGGTCAGAGGGTGGTTTTTGTTCTAGTAACGATCTCACTTCTTCGTAAGATAGTGAACGAAACGGATCTAGTTTGATACAGCCTCGGAGTACCCGGGCGTCCCGACGCGGTGCCATTGAGATTCCCCGGGCTAGGAATACGACTTCAATATTTCAAAGAGTAAGTCTATATTTTTTGTACGGACAACAATAATGAGTAAGACCAGTTAATTTCGTATTTTATTCACAATTAATAGTTGCTACTTTTCGCTAATTTATTTACAAACAAATATTGCATTTTTTCTTTATAATTGTTTATCCAATATCATTTAACCAGTGACCTCTTAAGTTTTATCACAAACACAATGCAACCTACAAAATGAAATGTTATGAAATACGAGTACTAAATATATAAACTTAGTTTACTGGTTTACCTTTATCGTTAGAAACACGTCGTTAGGAGCATCAGAGATGAATTTCTGGACTTGTTCTTTTTTAAGTGTTTTTGATTTCTTTGGTACATAACCTGTTCTTTTTTTCTTCATAAACATAATTAACTTATGATATTTAGATATATCAATATTTGATTTTAAACTTAAGGTTGATTTTTTCGACAATGTTTGAGAAATATGTTAACAATACAGATTCTGAATATCGTATTATTTTTCTCTCGTCACCCCATGCAATAAATTTAGCGTATGTTTTTTCGTACAACACGCTTATTTCAGGTAGTAAACTTAAAGATACTTCATTTGCAGTTTCTGCCACTTCTGGTGGAGTTAAATTAAACTCTTCGTCAATATACTTCTTTTGATTTTTCAAATACACAGAATTTTAAGCAATAAAGTAAATAATAACATACAATGACAGATAGTACTAACAGCGGCTAATTCATTTTAAATTTTTTAGTGGGAATATAAATAGGTATATGTTTGGTTGCCTACACCACAGGTCAATGCCAATCCGAGCTCAGAGCATTTAATTAATTTATGCAAACAATCTATGTTGTGTTGTATATATCGTTCATTAATAGAAAATCATTCATTAATAGTGGTCATTAATCAATGACGTATAATATATAGACTACGCAGTCCCCTATTCTCGCTATAGAATCAAGTGTCCGAAAGATCTCGGCTCAAGGTTGAAGGTATGTTTATTAGAACAGCGGCGTGTTCATTTATATTTTAATGACAATAATTATTTTTTTAATTAAAATTAAATATTTATGATTTCTTTTTGTCCCATCTATAAGAGAAATAATTATTTTGATAAAATAGTATGGCATTTTACTAAAATAGTAAGTAAATAACTCTCAACAATTTAAAATAAAATTTGCTTGTCACACAAAATGGAGAAAATGCTTTCATACGTCCATGATGTTTTCAAACACAAGATCAACTTCGTGATGCTTCGTAAGAAATCATGAACTTCGTGTATCTTCGTATCAAAACAATAAACAATAACAAAGGTATTCATGTTTTGGACACTTTTTAAAGCGTTCACCGAGTCTATATATTATACGTCATTGTCATTAATCAATGATTTATCTCCCTCATACGATATTAAATATCGCTATAATAATTCGCTGCCTTCTTTGTATTTGTATACAGCCAATTCTAACATAGTCACATTGTCACATATTGTGGTTAGAAAATTACTTCTTAGGAGGCATACGAATCATTTGAACTACTTTTACTTTGACATATTTGTCAATATTTTGACTAGGTAATCTTTAGTAAATTTAGTAAATTTTCTATTTCAGTATGTTTACCTGATGCATTTTTCATTTTCAAAAATAAACATATAAATGAAATACCGATTAAAAATAGCACAAAATCAATGTAGCTACATCTTGAAATGAGTTTTTAAGTGAATACTAACTTGTGAATAGAACATATTTATTTAAAATATTTGAACAAAAATGGTTTGTATTCAAGTTCAAATAGGGCTCAAAAGCTTCTTTCTATCCTTCGTGTTAGTAGCAATTGTAGCTTTCGTACAAATCTATTATAGTATTATACACTTTTGGATAAATGTTTTGATGTTTTCTGCCGCCGGCGTTCTAGATTTTATATTAGTAAAAGTGTTCTTCAGGAGATATTTTCCATTTCAAGTAAGTTCTTTATTTTTGTAGATCTAAACTATAATTTAACAAATAGTTTTATTTTGGTTTTATCAATACTTTTTTGTCATATTATGTTTTCCTGTGGAATTCAGAGCAACATCACACAGGCAGTTCAATATGAAGCTAATTTCTTATCTTATTAAATTTAAGATTTATTTTCTTATTTTATCTATATAACAGGTTTAAAAAATTGAAACTAAGTATAGTATTTCTAAAGTCAGTTGAAACACCCAAAAAAAACTGGTTGCTGACAAACATTGAAAGAATAATATATTACCAGACATGGGCGCATCATTTATTTTTATAAAATCAAATATAGATTAATGTAAAACAGAAAAAGGACAATTTTAATTTACTTAAAGCTGTCATGAAGTACACAGGTGTATAAAAAAGTTTTTAATATGTCATATTTAGCAACAAAAATAATTTATAATTAAATGGCAATAGGCTGTATTGACAGTATAATGATTTAATTATACTTCGTAAAATAATAAACACTTTAGCTGTACAGCACTGGCATGAATCAACAGTGTTTCGTATCTATACACCATTGCCGCCGGCTGGAAGAGAAGCTCCAAGTAGAGTGTTAAATATTGGTGATTTTGAATAACATATAATGTCCAATATCTATTTGATGGGATGTATCTTTCATTCTATCTTTCTTCCATCTATTTCCTACAAAGTAAGGGGATTGTTGAAATATATTTGAAACATTGACTCATGTTATTTATACTTTAACTTGATTACCGGTAAATTTAATATTGAACTGTCCTTATAAATTGAGTCAGAGAGATATGTTTCAACTGACTTTATAAATACTATACCTTTTTTAAGAGTTGCCTCTTGATCAGAAGCTATTTACAAAATACAAGTTTAAAAAAAATATTAAAGTAAATTAGTTTTACAACTATTTACCATGATTTTATAATGAGGGAATTATTTAAAATATCATAAGTAATTATTTATAAGTAATTGAATGTGTAAGAGATCTAACAATAACAATATCTAAAGATATTATCAGATTACCAAAAAGGACATAGTAAAAACAATACAAGCCTAGATAGGTATATGAAATTGTTCAGATGGATTATATAAAAACAAAGTTATAAAATAGGAAGAGGATACAAAAATATAATTACTTTAACTATTGATATTAAAAACTTACTTTTTCAATAAAGCCTGTTGTTGAATCACTAAAACCCAATAAACAATTTTGGGGAAATTCAGTGTAGTTCACGTTTAGTTTTAATTAATTTGGACATACTACTTTTCTGATCCTATTTTGTGTTATTTCAGCTGATTAAGAATGTAATAAAAATTACTTTGTACAATTATTTCAGATATGTATGTGAGGATACAATGGCCCATAAATACAAAATAGTATTTTTTGCACAATATTTTTGTAGGTTTTTGCAGATATATCATCTATATTTTACATATCTATGAGTCACAATATGCAAAATCAGTGAGGATATTCTAAAAAAGGGACAAATAATAATAGTCATGCTGTGTTATTATAAATCACACAAACTGTGAATTAAAAATTAGAGAACAAAAACAATATTATACCCTCACAAACTAATGGAAAAAGAAGTATAAAATTAAATAAGCATAAAAATGTGGAGACAACATGGAAAGACTTAAATAAAGCACATAGTATGTTCAAAGTTATTCCCAATTTTGGTTGTTCAAAGAACAACCAAATTTGAAAAGAAATAACAAAAAACATGATGGCACTTAGGAAATTATAACATATAAGTAATTGTGAAGAGGTCTAAAATACTATGGTAGAATAATAACATAGATTACAATCTCTGCCTGGCACACTGCAACTTTTGTGGTACTTCTATTTGTCACTTAAAGTGCCTCATTCAGCCCTATTTTCTTAATGAGCACTCACAGCCTTGAGAGGGGTTCTTTTATATAGACTGATGTTTTTGGTTTTTCCTTTCCAAGTTCTAGATACTGAAGCATTGTGAAGCACTCACACTAATATAAGAAGTGAAGAGCAGTTTTCTCTTCTAGATAAAACTATCAAGTATCCTCTTCAGTCAAGCCCATTTGACTCAAATGCTTATTCAGCCTACAGTGTCCAGTCAGCAGCCCCACTAATATTCTCACAGTCTCTAGTGTGGGTCATTAAGTCATCTGTGAATTTAGCTGAATGTGCTTTAATGAACTCTTAGTTTTGTCAATAGCTGCTGTTTTTGTATGTGTTTGCAACCTCAAAGCAAGATTCCAGGCCAATTAATGGCCCAGAAGCACCTCCTCTGACTAGAGAGATATCCAAAAATGCACAAACTATACAGCTATGAAACTTCTTAGTCACACCATGAAAATATGGGGAGACTAATTGATAGACAGATACACTAAGAAATTGAAATATCCAATAGTTGGTTTGATTTTATGCAAGGCAGATTAACAACAAATGCAAAAAAAAAACACAAGAATAAAGAAACAAACACTCATATGGTATTTATTGATCTTGGGAAAGCACATAATAGAGTTCCTCAAGAAGAACTAGTGTTAGGACAGGTGTGGGAGAGACTGATAAATCTATCGTGCTATGTATTAAGAGTATAAGTCAAAAATATCAATTTTTCACTAGGGCTCTTCAAAGTTTTTATTACCACTTTTGAAATAACTGTTACAACTAAATATCAAAATGATGATGAAATATGATTCATAACTGTAGTAATTACCTATTTTACTTTCTATTTTTATAATACCACATTAATTATAAATATTAGTTGACTTGTACTGTTAAGGCCATGTTTGCTTCATGACTTATACTCTTAGTCCTGCCAGTTTTGAGTGTATTGAGGATTTTACAAGTGATCAAAATAATCATGAACAGAAAAATATTAAATTAAACTCTTTATTCTTTACCTACATGATGAAATGTAATTATAAAAAAACATTACAATTAAAGTTCTAAAATTAACTTACAATAAAATTGTTATTCAGAATCTTCAGAATCGGAGCCTGGATATGTGTTTTTTACCCCTGCTGATGTTTTCATAGACTTATAAAAATTATGAAATTGGGGATGTATTAGGGTTAAAAGGGCCATGATATCCTTTTTCTTTTCCACAGAAATTGGCAGACTTTTTTTGTAACACTTTGGAGGTTCTAGAGTAACATCGTCTGTGTTATTGCGACGATGGAGATCAATGCAACGGAATGGCTCATCCTTATCTAAGGTCAATTTAAAAAACATTTTTGCTGGCTCTCTTGTATATCTCAACCAACGAATATCTGTCCATTTGAAGGAAAGACCGACCTCATCCTTTGTCCTTAAAAACAGATCTTTTTTGTAGAGAGCTGCAAAATCTAAAAAATCCTTGTGATTTAGTTCAACAACACTGAACTTTTTTTTCTTTCCACATGTGCGAACTAGCTGGTACCAGTCGTATGGCGTAGAAATTGGCATTTGCAAAGTTTTTTTTTTGCTTTTCAATCATCCCGTGGTCAACATCGCATTCAAGATGACTGTGACCACTCACCATGAATTTATGATCTATGCATTGCAGTTGAGGACATTTTTGCATTAGAGTTAAAAACATTGCTGAAACATGAGAGTTCCTGTTTTGTCCTCCGCACGAATCAGAATACAAAATGACGTTTTTAATTGATATTGGGAGAGAAGAAAGTTCTTGATAGAGGCACGTCGCAATTTGGTTAGCACCTCTGCCACCTTCCGCCTCATGCCACATGTAGCACTTAACTGCCCCACTACTTGTATTATGCATAGTAAGGTTAAAAGTCCACAACTGCCTCTTGTAGAAGGCTACTGACGTATTAAGGTAAGGTGTAGGCAAACATTGCTGTAGATCAAACGCAAAGCAAATTTTCTCATCTTTGTTTAGCTTAGCATCTACTTTGTCTTCCTTTTTCATGTCATACGCTAAATCTGCTTCGTCTAGGTGCATTTTTCGTTCATTTTCCACAATCTTACGTTCATGTTCATTTTGAGCAATTTTTATCTTCATCAAGAGAGTGTCACATTTGTGACAAGTATCTACTTTTGGTTTTTTGAAGGAAATATTTTGCTTATGGAATTCACGTTCATATATTGCTCTAGAAGCAGGGTTGTGGACATTTTTCTGGTACAGCGAGTACATAATTGCTAAATTTAAATAGGGTGGTAGATATTTTTTCACGCTTTTCTTTCTTGAGTAATGTGACTCGTATGCTGGAAATGATTTTATGTGATCTTGAATATGTTTAATTCTCACATCTGAAATTTTTGATGGTGGAGGTTCTTTGCCTCTTTGATCACATTTTGATATGCCTGATGTTGACTTGAGAGATGAAGAAATGGCAAGTGTCACGAACATATTAGTTTCACCTAGTACCTTCATAAAACAACCGCGACATACTTTGCTTTTTGTACCATTTATTTTAAAGAAAAAGTTATGTGTCCACTGCCTAAACTTTTCTTTATTTGGATCATCTGTTCGTTTACGCATAGTTTTAGGTTCAATACTTTCAACCATGTTTGACACAAAATTTGCCCTTTTATCACGGCTACCAAGACTCCAGTACTCCTTGAAAATTTTTTTTTGTATCTCGATGGAGAGTTTCTCTTTGCAGTTTGCTCGACAACTGCCCAAAGCTGTCATTACTCTGGCAGGTTTTTCTTTACCATCCAGTGTTACATACCTCTGGCCAGCATTTCGTTGCTGAAATTTCTCAATTCTTCTCTTTTTTGAATACTTAGCTGGTTTACCAGCAGCTATTGAGGTGCTAATATTATTACATTGAGTTGACTCTCGTTGTGCTTTTCGCTTCTTCTGTGCTCCTTGAGTGTGGAGAAAAACTTCTATATCTTCCTCAGACGCAGAATTATTATCCATTTGGTAATGATTTATTGGCTCCCCACTTATTACTTCATTTTCACCTGCTAACAAAAAATAAGTTACTTATTAAAGGAAGGGACCATTCTTGCTTATAAACATACTACTCATGAAATTCTAATTTTACCTTCTAAAAATTCATGGACAACATTCTCTATTTCTTGTATGGTGCCCTCAATGTCATCGGAATTAGGTTCTTGCATCGTTTCAAAACCAATCGTTTGGTCAGGAGCATTTCGGTTAATATCAATTAATTCTCCATTATCTGTATTTTGTTGTGTGGTAGCTTCAGTAAGCTCACATGTACTTGTTGTCAAGGGTTCAATTTGATTTACAATGCCTAAAAAGCACATATGTCTATAAGTAAAAAGTATTAGGTATTTATCTACAGATACCTATACGAATGGGAGTTCTTACCAGTATGGGGATCTATGGTCATCTCAATCCCAATAATTTCTTCCGTAGTTGAATCAATAACATCTTTTTGATTCAATAGTTGATTGAGACTTAGTCTAGGCATTTCGTTATACCCTGCAAGCAGCAAAGAAAATATGTTAAATTGTTGGTGTAATAATTTCATCATTGGTTAGCAACTTTTAAACAAATAAAACAAACTTAACTCACCTAATTTTGTAGATGAAGAATCATCCTTTTGTTCTAATAATTTTAGAATTTGCTTTCCTCTACTCATTTTTAAAAAATATTTATAAGAGGACACTGATACTTTCACAGCAACCTACTTTAAGAACACTTAAATAAAAAAAATACTTAATTATTCATGTTTTTGTTTTAAATGGGATTTAGCTATTTTTATAATTTTCTACTCAGTATTTCGAAAAATTAAGAAACAATTTATAAACAATAACAATAAACTACCTTCTTAAACTTTTGACAGAACGAAAGTTATAAACAGGTTTGCCAAGTTTACAACTACTACCGAACTCTGCACACTCATAACCTCGAAATTTCCTTTTCGCACCACTTTTAAATTTGTTAATTCATTGAAATTTTATGCTTAAATTTTGATTATTTACATTTTTTCAATACAAACGCCCTCCCAATGTCTCAAATTTTGTTTTTCCTTTTTATTTTTATAATTTCCTTTTGTACAAAAAGGCTACAATATGGAAAAAATTTCCATGATCTGGCATCACTGACTAGAAACACCTAACACGTGGTATAAATACTAGGAGTATAAGTCAAGCTGCATAAGTGAAAACGGAAGGTACTAACAATATAAGTTGACTTATACTCTTAATACAAAGCAGACTTTTGAAATTAGAAGTTATACTGTTGGAATAAAATCAATATTTATATATGAAAAACAGGCTATTGACTTATACTCCTAGTACAGAAATAACTAATAAACATCAAAAATTCAAAATATAGAAGAATCCCAAAACGTCTTTTTTTGACTTATACTCTTAGTACGTAGCACGTTAGAAATTTCATGTAGTAGGATTATATCTAGAATCACTGCTTAGTCCTATTTATTCTTATTAGTGTAGGATCAGATAACAGCGAAACTACAGGGTAACATTCCCTGGTGCTTAATGTATGGTGTTGATGTAATGTTAGAAGGACATAAGGAATGAGAAAAAAGGATAAAATTGTGAATGAGTTTCTTAGAGAAAGTCTAGGGGTGGCACCAATTGATTAAAAAATAAGAGATCATAGGATAAGAGAGTTCGGACATGTTCAACATATTCACCCAATTAATTGGATTTATTTAATTAAGGTTCAAACCCCTGCACTGAAATTTTTTTCGAATTCTAATGTAACTGAGCTGCCACCATGCTTCGGGGTCATGTAAAGCTGTTGGTTCTGGCTATTTTAATAGTTCTTAGGGATGCTTGTGTCCCTGCTACAACACTAACTGAAAACCATAAAACTAGACCTTAGCCAGATAGACCAGTGTCGAAACCTTTAAAAAAGGTAAAAAGTAAAAAAAGTTATAGTAGAATGAAACCTATTGGAAAAGGAAGAGAATATGCTAAAAATCGAAGAAAAAATAAATTCCACTACATCCGAGGTCGGGATGTGGGAGGGGGTGAGTTTTTAAGGGTAAAAATCGGTTTATCGCGATTTTCGGCAAAACTACAAGTGCTATAGAAAAAAGTTAAATGCCAAAGTTGTAGGTAACAAAAAGATCTACAACTTTTGTATTTACACTTTTTCACATAACCTCAAAATTTCTCAAAAATTCAAAAAACTAGGTTTTTGATGTTTTATTTTTATCTTTTAGAAAAAAAAAATTTTTTACGAAATTTGGTGAAACCTTGCTTTAGTATATACCAAACACACAATTTTTTTTGAATTGAAAAATTTATTTTTTTACCTGATATTGATTTAATATCAAAAATGCACCCTATTTTCAATCGAAAATTCACCAGTAAAAATATCAGCTTTTTTAAAAAAGTTGGTGGGTTTTTTGTAAGTTGAAATCTCTACTTTCCGATAGTGTAAAAAAATATATATTACTATGGGAAATGTTATCAAAAAACGAAGAAAACTGGAATTGAAAAATTTTTTTTTCATCATTATGTACAATTTTGAGATATTTATTAAAGTTAACACTATTACTCATGTAGCGTATTTATATATTCATAGTGTTTTCATGGTACATTGACAAATAAAAAAAATTATAAATTGAAATATTCTACTATAATTAACAAACAATTACTTAAGTTAATAATGTTTATATTTGATAAGACATCTACAATATTATAAGAAAGTTGTAGAATTTTCTTTTAATTAAATGCGTACATACTTATTTATTGCTATTTGATGATAATTTATATACTTGAGTATAAATTGAGACATTATGCCCAAATTTACAAAAAAGGAATTGATCCCGGAAATACTGCTCAAAACTGTTTGCTGAAGCTGTGAAACTGGATGTAACAATTTAAAATGTGGTTGCCGAAAACATGGTTTGAAATGCACAAATTTATGTTCAAGTTGTCATGGCACAGAAAAATGCTCTAATGTAGAGGAAAAAGCCTACGAAGAATTTAATGATAATGATTCTGATGAAATTGTGGATGAGGAAGTAACGCAGACAGGAAATAATATTGGAGATGAAGACGGTGATGGTCTTGAAGATTTCGAAGATCTTCTAGAACCAGAAGGCGACGAAGGAATGCCATCAAAGAGGCAAAAATTAATACCCAAAAAAATATTATGATAAATATATACATCATAAATATATATTGTAAGATTGCCCATAACAAAAATGTAATTAAACATTAATAAACCAGCTTTTTAATTGTAAAAAAAATCATATAGCAGTCACATTTTTAGATGAAATTCCCTTTAAACCCCATCTTGAATATTTTTAACAGCTATTTTCACATGTCTTTTTTTACAAATCTTAAGCTACATGACTAATTACAGTATGAATTATAAGAAATATCTCAAAATTGTACATAATGATGAAAACAATTTTTTTTTGATTTGAGTTATTTTTCTTTTTTTACACCGACTTTTTTAAAAAAGCTGATATTTAGTCGCATGAATTTTTGATTTAAAATTAGGGTGCTTTGTCGACATTAAATCAATATCAGGTAAAAAAATTAATTTTTCAATTCCAAAAAATTACAGTGTGTTTGGTACATACTAAGGCAAATTTTTAACAAATTCCGTAAACATTTTTTTTTGTAAAAGATAAAAATAAAAAACCAAACTTAGTTTTTTTGAATTTTCCACAAAAATATTGAGGTTATGTGAAAAAAGTGTAAATACAAAAGTTGTAGTTTTTTTTATTACCTACATCTTTGCCATTTAACTTTTTTCCATAGCACTTGATTTAGCTAAAATAGTTTCGCCGAAAATCGCGATAAACCAATTTTTACCCTTAAACACTCAACCCCTCACACTTCCCGGCCTCGGATGGAGTGAAATTTATTTTTTCTTCCATATTTAGCATATTCTCTTCCTTTTCCAATAGGTTTCATTCTACTATAATTTTTTTTTGGTTTCAAAAATTATCGACCCTGGTCTAAGAATGTTACATGAATTTTACTTTACCTTTATCACCCTATATGAAGAATTGTTGATTTATAAGTTTCTGCGAGGAATAGGAGTGGAAGGAAAAGAAGATCTGGAGGGAGATGTTGATGACAGGACATCAGTAAAGAAGGGGATTGATATTACCGGAGAAACTTATGGAAAAATGTAATTAGGTAAGCTAACCCCACATAGGGATAAAGGCAAAGGCAATGATAATGATAGTTATTTTTTACCATAGATATTTTATCAATCAGTACAATTAATTATGTTTTGTTTTTAGATTGCTGTTAGAGCTGCATTCTTAGGCTATGTCTTTGCCCTAGGGATATTTGTTAAATTAGTAGTTCCATCGCATATACAAATCTTTGGGAGTTACATGTGTGTGATGTCATTCTTCCATTTTAGTGAATTTATAGCTATAGGACTAGTCCAACCTAAATTTGTATCTACTGACTCCTTTGTCTTAAACCACAGCCCACAGTACATAGCTGCTGCAGTTTCATCCTGGTTAGAATTCTTCATTGAGTGCTTTTTCTTTCCAGGTTGGTATTTTGGTTGTAAAATTTGTTTTTTTTTATAATTACAAATTGATCTTAAAGAATGAGTTTTCACAACTTTTTGTATCATTTGTATAAATGTAATATGTCAGAATCTGTTGAAGCCTGTAAGTAAGACCAATATGATATGACGATATATAAATAATTTAATAAAGGAAGCTATTACACTGCGCTATTTTTGAAGTTGATAGTTAGATTTATTCAAAATACAACAAAAATTATTGCCTTAAACAAATTGCGATATGAAAATTCTTTCAATTAGAATTTATAAAAAAGCAAAAATATAGTATATTTGATTGGTGAATCTTTCATTAAATATCTTGTAGAACCTCTTCTGCTTTAACATATTGTCTGAACAAGCCCAGAACTAGTGATCATATGAACTGTTTTTTTTTCAAAATCTTACTTTTTCATCTCTTCAATTATACCTGACTGGAGGTTATGAATAGATACGTCAGTACTGTGCTCAAAAGAAATAATACCCTAGACAGTAACCGTTCCTTCTCCAAAAATCTGGAGTCAGATTTTATTTACTCCATTGCATTTGCATTCAATTTTCCTTCCACTCTGAATAGGCAAAGATAAATCTAGACTTGTCTGTTACCATCCAATAAAACAGTTCTTCTACTATACTGCAGTCCAGTGGTGATTCACTGTATCTCAAACACTAACAATTAATATTGTTAGCCCTTGTTAACTAGCAAACTTAGATGAATGCTAGTATGTCTTGGAAGTTTAGAAGCTGATCATGTACAATTTTTTCTAGCCGTCTTAACAATTAATTGGTCCTGTCTTTTGGACATATCTCATTCTATACCATCTCCGTACCCTATACTAGTCATAAAAGTTTCCTGAAAACAATTCTAAGATCAACTAACCATACTTTAAGAAACAATAAACATTTAAGCCACTTCTTGTTTATTGTGATTACCAGGTTACTTGCTAGAATTTAATAAAATTGTATAAAATTTGAGCTTTGTAACAAAATATTTTTTTACAAATATTCAAATAAAACATCATTTTTGAATATTGCTTCAACAAAAAGCGTTTGAGGCTAAGGAAAAATGAATTTTTGCCAATACTCTACAAAGAAAATTAACTAATCCTTTCAAACAAAGTATACCTATAGGGATAATTAAAATATCCACTTCAAAAGTACCTATGCAGTGTAGTTTATTCTACACATCTTAACTTTTGTTGTTCAATTTAATATACTAAAGTTGCAGACAAAACAAAAGATATTCCATTATCTTGTTTTATTTTATAAAATTTGCTGGAATCTCCATTTTACAATTTCTGTTTCTAATAAGGAATATGTTAAACATTAATCTATATAAGTTAAAACTAATATATAAAGGAAACTATTACATTATAAACCAACGGTATGTGATTAAAATATGTCAGGTAAGTTTATAGTGCTCAGGCCAATACTTTAGAATTTTTTATGACCACATTGTCGAAACTTGGTGTATTTGTTATTTGGGTACATTCAGACAAATTTTGAGCATAGTGAAGTATGTGGGGGCGTTTGATCTAAAGCTATGAAAAAGTCATGGATTTTATACGAGACAAAATTTATAACCACAATGTTAATTTTTATTTTAATAGATGGTTTTAAGATATAAAAAGCGAAAAAAAGACAAAAAATTTAGGCGTATTTACTATCACGCTGCTGATTTTTTTGCAGAATCCATTAAATTTTTTTTAAATAATGTAACCTTGTCGTACAATTTACAGGAGGCATATGTGCAGTAGGATACACCAAAGTTAGGGTTTAACCCTAACTGACTGCGGATATGCTCCCCTGCAAATTGTCCGACAATGTTACCACATTATTTTAATTTTTTTTTATGATTGATTCTGTAAAAAATCACGAGGCGTGGTAGTATTTTTTTGTATAACTTTGGGATTTATCGCATGTCCGATGCGTTAAATGATCCAAAATATTTGACATATTTTCCGCTCTTTATTTGATTAAATCTGTGGATTGAAATAAAAATCACCTAAAATTGTGGTTATAAATTTTTTTCTCGCCTAATATCCATGACTTTTCGATAGCTTGAGTGAAACGCCCTATTAGCATATTAATTAGTTTAATATTAGCTTAAAATTTATGCGACTCCACCCAAATAACAAATACACGAAGTTTCGACATTGTGGTCATAAATAAATCTGGGTCCAAGCACTAATACAGGTTAATCAACTTTTGTTACAAAGCCCAATATATAGGCTAGTATAAAATAAATAAATATAAACAAAAGTATAAAATAATGTTCAAGGAATACAACATGATCTATTGAGATCATCAGAACCAGCTTGCTGTTTTAGACGATATGAGAAACATCTTAAATTTTCTCAAATGTTGTGAATTAACCCTCGATATATGAGTTGATATGTTTCTCATTTTGTCTAAACAAGCAAGCTGTAACTGATAATCCCAAAAGAGCGAAATATAAATAATACAAGTAAACGAGATACGAATAGTCCTGAATATTGATATGAACACACTGAACAGAAAGGTAGGTAACTAGTTATACGGAAATCATTGGGATAAAATCGACCATCTAACTGCTAGAACTACAATGGTATTCCCATTAGCGAGACGAAAAAAGAAATTTGGAAGTTTGCCAACCAAGTTTGGATGTCCAAACCAATTATTATAACATACAGTATGGCAAAGACGATTGCCAATCTTTCAAAGGAGGAAACATTTATGTCACACCAATTACTACAGGACATCGTAGAAGACATCCATATCGAAACTTCATGAATCGGGAATTATAACAATTAAAAAGGTACTGGACACATGCACCATTAAGAAAGAGAAAAACTACTCCACTGGAAGTGTTTTGAGAAAAACAAATCAACTTGTCCAGCTGCTTCTATGGAACAACAAATTAAGAAAATGTACAAAAGACAGAAGTACTACTACTACTAATTTTGGAAATTACAGTGATATGCTAGTAAATTGTGACATAGTTTCACTGTTTAATTGGTACCAGTTGTTGAGACATTACAGTTTATTAATCAGCAGTTCTCTCTACAGTTACCAGATAAAAAGTCAATATCCTGGTTTCGTTATGTGAATGACACTTGGCGATGAACAATGGCGATTTGGTTATGGCCCCTAATACGTTGCTGTGTGATATCTAGAGGAGGTAAACTACTCAATCTGGCATACAAAATCTTCCGTTAGCTATTAAAAAGAATTTCTATCATCCTAGTAAAGGTATTGCATATCCAATCTTTCTTTGTGTGAAGCAATGGAAATGTGCTTGGAATATTATGAGGACCTGCACATTCTTATAGATCCTTGAGGCATTTGATTGTGTCGTTTATTTATTTATCGTCTTCCGGGTTTGGACCGTGTCATTTGTGAGTGACCCAAAAGTGGGTTCATCTCGACGTTTCGCTACAATTGTATGTAGCTTCTTCAGGAGAACAAAGAAAAAGAAAACAAAAGACAGGAAGATGGGTAGTTAGCAACGGTAACTCAGTTACTCAACGCAACCAGAGGCGAATACTAACTACCAAGATGGGCATTTGGTCACAGTAACTCAACTACTCAACGCAGCCAGAGGTGAAAACCAAATGCCAGGACAGGGATTCACGTTGGTTTTCACCTCTGGCTGCGTTGAGTAGTTGAGTTACTGTGATCAAATGCCCATCTTGGTAGTTAGTATTCGCCTCTGGTTGCGTTGAGTAACTGAGTTACCGTTGCTAACTACCCATCTTCCTGTCTTTTGTTTTCTTTTTCTTTGTTCTCCTGAAGAAGCTACATACAATTGTAGCGAAACGTCGAGATGAACCCACTTTTGGGTCACTCACAAATGACACGGTCCAAACCCGGAAGACGAATAAACTATAATACTGTACTATCTTGTTCAAAATGTCTGAATTTGTTCCATTGAATTCCCCGTTTTTCTATCGCTTATCTAACTTTCTAATTTGCTCATCCCATCTCAACCGCGGTGGGCCAACTACAAAAGCCTAATAAAAATCATCATGAATTATCCTATCATCTAGTCAGTTTTTTACCCATTATCCCTAAAATGTTTGAACAGATTACTTAAACGAATGAATGGTATAATCGACACACAAGATTTGATACCTGATTACCAGTTTAGTTTCAGGCAACAACATGAAACAATTGAGCAAGTACATAAGCTTGCCAAAGTAGCAAGAGGTGAAATTGAAAAGAAAGAATATTGTACTGCAGCTTTTTTAGGTTTTGCCAAGAATTTGATATGGTCTGACATGATGGTTTGCTATCTTAATTAAAAAACCATTTTCCTCATTCTCTGTATACATTTCTGAGATACTGTCTCACCGATCGATACTTCCAGGTCAGATAAATATGTTTTCCTCCTTATTTATTATTTTAATTTTGTAATTATCTGAGTTATCAAAGTTTTTCAAAAGTTTTCAAAGGAAAAATTTAACTTACGTTAATAGATCTGAAACAGTGGAAACACCATTATGAGGTCTTACTGACAGAGGATAGATGTAAATTCCAAAACATCGAAATGGAAGAAATATCTGAACACACACAAATAAGTGAGATATCAACCGAAGAGTTAAACGATGCCCTCAAAAGATCGAAAAACGGTAAAGCAGCAGGACCTGGAGACATCCCAATTGAGTTGATAAAGTATGGACCAAAAATATTACATGAGATGTTGGTTCAACTATTTAACAAATGCTTAAAAGGACAAGATATCCCTGATGATTGGAATATTGAATACATCAGCTCAATATTCAAGAAAGGGGATAAACGCAAATGCTCTAATTATAGGGGAATAACTGTTATCAGCTCAGTGGGGATGTTGTACGGTCGAATAATAAAAAAAAGAATAGAATCAGAATACGAAGACATAGAAGAACAAAATGGATTTCGTGCAGGAAAATCGTGCACTGATGGTATATTCGTTCTGCAGCAGGTAATCGAAGAACGGAAGGCAAGGAATCTATCTACCCACCTATTGTTTGTAGATTTAGAGAAGGCATACGATACGGTATCTTTGAAAAAACTGTTTCAAACATTGATGAAAGTAGGTCTTAGTAGAGAGTATGTGGATGCTACCGCAAATATATACAACAATGCAAGAAGTGTCGTTAAAGAAGGAAACTTTATATCTGAACCATTTCCAATAACAAAGGGGCTTAAACAAGGATGTTGTCTATCTCCGACCTTATTTAAAATATATATATTCAATCATCGCTAGAGCAGTGGAGGAAACAAGTATCCGAAATGAGAATAGACGTAGGCGATGGTAAATGTCTAACAACTTTATTTTTCGCAGATGATCAGGTAGTCGTAGCGAATGATGAGGAAGACATGGACTACATTTTTAGAAAACTAAAGAAAGAATATGAAAAATGGGGCCTCAATATGAATATGTCAAAGACAGAGTATCTTAAAATAGGAGATGATGAAGAAGATCCAGAATTAGAAATTAGAAACACAAAAACATGCAGGGAATATAAATATCTCGGATCTATAATATCTAAAGAAGGCACTACCACAAGAGACATCGAAAACAGAACGCAGCAGGGAAAAAAAGCGGTTAACATTCTACTATGGTCTAAAGATATTAAACAAGAAACGAAATTGACAATCTATCGAACCTTGGTAGAGCCTATTATGACTTATGGGGCAGAAGTTTGGCAGATCACGAAAAAAGATAGAAAAAGAGTAGAAGTAGTAGAAATGGATTTTCTAAGGAGAGCGTGTGGTGTATCCAAAAAAGATCATATCAGGAATGAATATATTAGAAGGAGGACAAATACTGTATATTCCAGTGTAGACAGAATTGAAACGAGACAACTAGTGTGGTATGGTCACATGAAGCGAATGAATGAAGATAGATGGCCAAAGAAAGCTTTAAATTACATACCACAACAAAGAAGAAGAAGGGGAAGGCCTTCAGTTGCCTGGGAAGAAAATCTACGACACATAATGAGAGATAGAGCCAGCCATCAAAAACGATGGCGGTCGAAATGCGAAAGGCGGCAGAGGCTGTAGGAACCTCGCTTATATATATATATATATATATATATATATATATATATATATATATATATCTGAGTTATCATCACTCCCTATAATAATCGTTTTTACATCTCTGCGATAGAAACTTCGCTCAAATAAACTTTTTGGAGGTTCCGTTTCTCTCAGAGTTGTTATTTCCAGCTCGTTAATTTATTTTATTTTTATCCCAGATTTAAGTCATACGACTTTCATTCCATCTAAATAACTCTAAGTGTGTAAACTTATCTACTTTTAAACAAAGTACAAAAGCTGTTAATAAAATTATATCATTTTCAGGCATGAAACAGTTTTATTGGATATCCAATATTGGATTGGGTATATGTATTCTTGGAGAGCTACTGAGAAAGACTGCAATGTTGACTGCTGGATCAAATTTTAATCATTTGGTAAGTAAGATTATTGACTTAATTACAATTTATAGGTGGGTAGTTTTCTATAATCTGAAAAAATTATATAGGAAAGTAGCCAGGAGAGAATGAAACATATCGTTAACTAGAATAGAATAATAAAGGGCATCACAATTTAAATGTAACCTATTTTTTTTTAAATCATGAATGTGTTGCTTGTGTGAGTCCATTTCAAATAGGTAAAGAAATAATAAATAAGACTTACTCACAATCAATTTAATTTAACAATCAGACGACCGGTTTCGCTTTCTACAATATGCAAAGCATCCTCAGGTCTCGATACAAAGTTAAACAAATGCTGAAATGATAAAAAAACCCATATTAGGGTGATGTCTAATAACGATAAACAAAGTAGATGTTGTAAATTACAATAATTATGCCAATATTACATGTCTGTGGTTTTATTTAAAATAGTAAGTTGAATAAAAAGTATAAAAGTTTTAAAAGTTTAAATAGACAAGGTAAGGCCCACAAATTGTTATAAAATAGTCTATTTGATTGTAATAAATTAATAAAAGAGCAAATAAATAAAATAAACATTACTTACATGCCGGTACTCTTTAATTTTTTTAAACCGGTACCGGTTAATTGATGGATGGTAGAACATGGTTGAAACTACTATGTATTGTTGAATGGAGAACTCAATTCTGTTATTGCAGTTGTTTGACAGTAAACGGGAAGTTCTTGAGGAGATAAATTTGATCCAATGAAGAAGAGATATGTGTGTGATTGTTTGTTAAATGAAAGTGATGTAATATATCATTGTATTATTAAAAGTTATTTATACTTATTCGAGAGATATATTTATGAAATACTTGTCACCTTCATAAAACAATTACTCAATAAATAACACACATTTCATAAATATATCTCTCGAATAAGTGTAAATAACTTTTAATAATACAATGGTATATTACATCACTTTCATTTAACAAACAATCACACACATATCTCTTCTTCATTGGATCAAATCTATCTCCTCAAGAACTTCCCGTTTACTGTCAAACAACTGCAATAACAGAATTGAGTTCTCCATTCAACAATACATAGTAGTTTCAACCATGTTCTACCATCCATCAATTAATAGAGTACCGGCATGTAAGTAATGTTTATTTTATTTATTTGCTCTTTTATTAATTTATTACAATCAAATAGACTATTTTATAACAATTTGTGGGCCTTACCTTGTCTGTTTAAACTTTTAAAACTTTTATACTTTTTATTCAACTTACTCTTTTAAATAAAACCGCAGACATGTAATATTGGCATAATTATTGTAATTTACAACATCTACTTTGTTTATCGTTATTAGACAACACCCTAATATGGTTTTTTTATCCTTTCAGCATTTGTTTAACTTTGTATCGAGACCTGAGGATGCTTTGCATATTGTAGAAAGCAAAACCGGTCGTCTGATAGTTAAATTAAATTGATTGTGAGTAAGTCTTATTTATTATTTCTTTACCTATTTTTTATTTTTTTTTTGTTTGTCAGCTTATTATTGTTTTACATCTTACATTTATTTGTTTTCAGGTCCAATGTGAAAAATTTAGTAATCATACTCTGGTCACGTATGGAGTGTATGGCTGGTTCCGACATCCTAGTTATGTAGGATGGTTTTATTGGTCTATCGGCACTCAGGTTTGTGTTTCTTGACTGTATTCTAAACTGATGCATTAGTCTTGTTTACCAAAGAGTTTACCAAAAATTTAGTTTTTAATAAATAAATGAAACTTTTGAAAGTTATGTATAACTAAAGTTAAATATAGCTCACAGTCTAAGAGATTTCAAGTGTTTCAAGAAATCGAAAAAATATCCAAATAATCAGTGGAGAACTAGCGATTTACATAAAGGATAACTTCGATATCGTGCTATTACAATTGACGCCAACAATTGGGACAAATGCCTTCATAGTAAAAAATACAACCACCGCATTTTTAATTTACAATATTTATATTACCCCCTCCCCAATTGAAAACTGAACTTAACTTCTTCTTCTTCTTTAGGTACCATCTCCTCTAAGGAGATTGATAATCATCACAGCTATTTTCACTTTTGAGATTTCAGCTCTGAACAAGTCGACGGAACTGCAATTATACCACTTTCTCAGATTGTTGAGCCAGGAAATGCGTCTTCTTTCAATACTTCGTTTTCCCTGTATTTTCCCTGCATTATGGTTTGTAGCAACACATATTTATCCCCTCTCATAACGTGGCCGAGATACTGTAACTTTCTTATCTTAATCATATTCATGATTTCCATTTCCTTTGTCATCTTTCTGAGGACCCAAACATTTGTTATTCGGTCTACCCAACTTATTTTTAATATTCTTCGGTAGGTCCACATCTCGAATGCTTCAAGTCGATCGCTCATCACCTCTTTCTTTAAGGTCCAGGCCTCCACCCCATACAGCAGCACCGAAAACACATAAGAACGTAGTATTCTTATTTTGAGTTGCAAACTAAGGTCTCTACTGCATAATACTTTTGTGATCTTATTAAATGTTGCTCTAGCTTGTCCAATTCTCATTTTTATTTCTTTTGTATACTCGTTATTTTCATTAATAATTGTACCAAGATATCTGTATTTTTTTACTTTTTCTATTGGAAATCCTCTTATGTTTAAAATGTCTTGTTGTGTTTTGGAAATTAACACAAAGAAGAAATTTTCAATTTACTAAACCAAATATCTGTCCCACGAATTATAGATGAACACTTCAAACACGCTTAACCCTTAAGAAGCTAAATGAAATTAACTCCCGTAGACCAAAAAGTAGAAAAATTACATAATTTAAATATTCTTTCCAACGGAAAAAACACTAGATTTTATATAACCACAGGAAAAGGGCCAGCTATCGATCTATACATTTGCGAACCAATACCTACTCTTACTTGGGCTGCTTTACCCGATTTCGTTATAATTAGTTATCGAACAAAAATCGACACCCAAAAGACAAATAAAATGGAACTTGAAAAATGCGAAGTCGTACGAAATTTGATCTTACGAATGATATAAAAGAAGTACACTTCTTCACAGCTTTAATTTCACAATCAACAAATAAATATGGTAGAAGTAATATGCTCAACAATAAGCTTAATTCAGTACCTTGGTGAAGCAGCGATTGCAAAGAAGCGATAAAACGATCCAAACAAGCAATAAATAAGTTTAAACGGAAAAATACTGAAGGACACATTGTGAAATTAAAAAAAAACCAAGAGCAATAGCCAGGTATACTGTCAAAAAATCCAAACAATTTATAGCCCAACTACCACAATAACCGTATGAAAAAAATCAACAAAATATCAGAAACCAAGTCCCAAAACTCAATAAACTTTTTAGATAAGATAATACCATTTATAAAATTTTAGAAGAAATATGCAGGATATTAGCAAAAGTTTATCAAAAAGCACAGGTAACTTTGAATTACACTCCTACTTTCTTGAGTGAAAAAATTGATGAAGAAAAATAACCTATAGAATATAAGGATTAAAACAACAATGCACTAACTACACCACTAACGATCGATGAACTGGAAAAATCAGACCCTCGGTCGTACATGCTGATATTACTTACATATAATATAGACAAACTATTAGAAATCATATATTTAACAGTCATGTGATACCTAGAATCAACAAACTTATTATATCAGAAAAATGCGGGTTTAGAAAACATCACTTCATCTTAGATAATCTTCTTCTTCCTCTTTATAAGCAATTATGCTTGTTCATTGGCGGATTAATACCTCTATGGAAGGTTGTCACCCCATCTTTTGCGCAGTCGTCCGATACTTCTTGCGTGATTGGTGACTTATCTCTTGCTATTTTGACGACACGGGTCTCCTCCATTTTGCTTATGTGGCTATTCCATTCTTTTTCCATTCATTTTGTGTTCATTCATTTGTACATAGTACGTTACATTTTCTTCTAATGTCTTTACTTCTCTTTCGATCTCTCAGCGTATTTGATGTAATTCTTCCCAGTACTCTTATCTTTGCAGTTTCCAGTAGCCTTTGCGTTGTGGCTTTGTCGGGTTGTTTCTGAGGCATATGCCATTATTGGTATTACATTGGCTTTATAAATTCTTGACTTCATCTCAGTGTTAATCTGTCTGTTTCGACATATAGTGTTATTATCCTGCCAGTCTATTTGCTTTTTGTATTTGATCTCTCATTTTTTTTGTCCGGGTCTCCATAGCTAGAAAGTGTAATTCCGAGGTATTTTATGGCCATTACTTGTTCAACACTGATTCCATCAATTTCTATTTTACATCTGATTGATTCTTTACTGACTACTATTGTTTTAGTTTTTTGAGATGGATTGTCATATTAAATTCTTTTGCTCTTATGTTAAATCTGTAAACCAGTTCTTGCAGTCTGTTGAACAGAGTATTTTGATTTCTTCCACTTTTTCCCATTCGGTATCCTCTTCCTTTGTTAAGCTTTTGATGATTTCATCCATCAAATTGAAGAGCATGTGGGTCAATGAATCCCCTTGCCTTATTCCGCTGCCTATTTCTATAGGTTCTGTAAGTTGTCCATCTATTGTGTATTCCATTTTGTTGTTTTGGTAGATGTTTTCGATAGTTTTTATAATATTTAGGGGAACTTCTCTATTATACAGAATTGATTAAATCTTTGAGTCTTATTCTGTCAAACGCTTTCTTTAGGTCAATCAGACACAGAAATGCTGGTCTATAATACTTAAGTGATTTCTCAGTAATTTGCTATATAACGAATATTGCATCTGTACACGATCTTGCACTACGAAAACTATGTTGTTATCTGCTAAACTTATCCTCTGATTTATTAGCACTTGTAAAATTTTTGTTGTAAGTTTAAGCGTACTATTTAACAAGTTTATACCTCTGTAGTTTTCTGGCTGTTTTTTATCTCCTTTTTTTGAATAGTAGAATTAGTTCGCTCGTTATCCAATCTTCCGGTAGTTTCTTGCGTTTTATAATTTTATTAATTAATGTTGTTAATTGTTTTGTCATTGCTACTCCACAATATTTCAGTAATTCGTTTGGTATGCTGTCTTTACTGCTGCTTTTCTGTTATTTAGGTTTTCCGAACTTCCTGTACATTTGTTTCCAGTTCTTCATTTGTGGTAATTTCTGGTGTTTCCAGTTCTATCGTAGTTTATTCTTCCTTTGCATAGAGCTTTTTTAGGTAGTCAATCCACGTATCCTTTTCTATGTGTTTTAGTTCTATTAGTTCCTTTACCTCCGTTCTTTGACCTGTTTGGAAGCGCCATATTACCTTTTGCAGACTGTAAAAATCATGTTCCAATTTAGTTAGTCCAAGATAATCTTGTGGACCTTAAATCAAATAGTCACGAAGCATTCGCAATACAACAATATTTTTCTATAAAGTATGGGAAATAGTACGGAAATACACAATAATTAAATCGCTATAAAAGGAAACATAAGTAAATACATATAAAATTTTCTGTAAAACACAATATTCCAAGTTCGAGTTGACAGAAAATATTCACAAAAAACGCTTAAAATAATGGTGTACCACAAGGATCAAACCTAAGCACAACGTTGTGCTTAGGAACAATAAACTCTGTAAAAGTTAGATTATATGCGGACGATTTAGTAATTTTTAGGAGAGAAAAAAAAATTAAAAATTGTTCATAAACAAATTCAACAAGCAACACGAAATTGATCTTCAATTCAACACACCAAAAACGAAAGCTGTCAAGCTCAAAAAGAAACCAACATCAACTTAAAACCTATTCAAATTAAAATCCTGTATCTAGTTAGTCAAATTTGTAGAAAATGTTTCATATGTTTAATATTATCTGTTGGTAAATTTTAAGATTTGATTTTTTATTTTTAGATTTTATTATTAAACCCTCTATGTGTCCCCGCATACGCTTTAGCCAGTTGGCTGTTCTTCAAGACTAGGATAGAAATAGAAGAAATCACTCTACTTAACTTCTTCGGCCAAAACTACTGTGATTATCAAGAGAAAGTCGGGACGGGAATCCCCTTCATCAACGGATATAGAATATAGCCGACTATTTTCTACATCGATGTGGAGTTTTCTTGTTAAGGCGGGTATTTCTACTCTTAAATGATTATATCAAAAATGGCTATTCGTTAGTCTTAATATATGGGTAAATTTGAATGACCTTTAATTCAGACTCTTATCAAAGTGCTATAGCGGTACATTTTACGCCACTCTCGATTTTTTTCACTCTATTTAACTATTTCCCGAAGTAAACTTTTTATGTCATGAACTTTCCCACCTTCTTTTTATTTATCTTTGAAACTCTGTATCAAACACCTGTTTAACTGTGTTAACATCTGTGTAATATACTAGAAGTGGTACACCTTTTCTATATGTGACTACATTTCGGCAGTAATAAAATGGCCGCTCGAGATTATAAAGCTATAAATATTTTTTAATTCTCTTTTTGGTCGCATTTATTATGAATTTTAAACGATTATGATTATTTTATAATGTTGATGTATTTTATAAATTGCTGTTTAAAAAGAATTATACAATTTAATACGACTTTTGAACTTTTTTATTTTTTGATAACTTTTTTTGGAAATAATACTACCGCGAGTCAGTTTAGTAAGCACTTTCATTTTATTCTATTGGAAAATGATACATTTTTGTTTTGAATTGATGCCAAAAAGTGTTATTGCGTTTTGAGCCAACTCGTATTCTAAGTTAGTCATATTATACATATAATGTCGAAATTTACATACAATGTCAAAAGTTAAAGAACTGAATGAATATATTTCAAGCGGTACCGACGGAAACTTTCTGTTATGCCGCGTCACTTACTTTCACTAAGTACGTTCTTTCTTAACAAAAAATGGCTTTATGGATGTCAAGATGCTTTGGGAGTCTCCTTTGTTGATTTTTTGATCTTTTCATTATGTGTAATTTTAAATCTAATAATCTAACAATAGTCACAAACAAAGTCTGTATTTTTCGATGCAATTTGTAAATTAAATATAAGATCGCACAAAAACATTACAAAGATCCACCTCTGGTATGTAATAGCTGATTTTAACACCACAAGAATATTTAGTTTACTGTAGCTTTATCCAAACCCTGCTTAAGTACTGAGTCTTTTTATTTATTTATTTTTGTTAAAATATAAGAGGTACTAAAAAAATTCCAGGACTAATACTTAAAAATTATAAATAAAAATATAAACCATTTATTATTAACCTCTTGTGGAATGCTGTTGTAACCTCTACAGCGATTTAACTTTTAATGTTTTCTTTCGGGTCGAACCCCTGTCTACCCTTTGGAAAATCTTTTAAATTTTGAAAAAAAAAAAAATAAACGGTTCGAAGAGTCTTCGTGAAAAGAAGGACTGAGTGAACAAGCCTATTTTTTTGCCTAGAAATTGCGAATATACAACGCAGAATTAACTGGTGCATGTCACAATGCAGTACCTAGTCTACATTACGCGATACTTTAGTTTGTTCCTTGGCAGAACCTTACGCAAATTTCTTAGCGCTTAAAGGCAACTAAAACGATTAGATTTTTTTGTGAGCATAACTTTTACGTTTTATTTCAGCTATCGCGCTTTTTTAGCATTAAAGAGTTCTTAACCTCCATTGAAACATGGATTTTTGTTTCAATGTTGTAACCGTAAACCAAGTGTCTTCTTCGGTGAAGATATCTTTCAAAAAGCTTTCATCACCATTTGCCATTTTAAGAAGTTTCTGAATTTGGTGTTATTTTTTCTCCTCGTTCACCAACCTCGTAAGAAACTTTACTACTACAACAATTTATCCGCAAATGCTTTTTGTAACATTTGAAGAGATTTTAAAGTAAAAGTTTTACCCGGTTTAACACAAAACTTGGTACAAACGTTGTTATTCGTAGAAATTCATCATGCAGTATATCGGAAAATCCTACGCGAAGACGACATCATTGAGCATTAAAATTAAAATAACGAAAGAATTTGTTTGAGTGCCAAACAATGCTGTCCTGAGCACCTATGTGACGTTGCCCCCAATTCAGAAAATCCTGGAACTAAATGATAAGTCCTCGTAATTACAATTTAACTGAAAATATTTTAGTACCCATTAAGACCATTAAGTTTTTTGATTAGAAACTCCCGCTTTGATTTCCTGTACAAGGTGATGCGCTTTACAGTCAGTCAAACTGATAGTATTTTATCGTAATTATTGTTTTTTACGTTCAATACGTCTGTATTTTTAGAAATTAATTTGAAACCAGTAATTTTGTGTTCTAAAATGCTAATATATTTTTGTAAGTCTATGTTAACTTAATTTTTTAATTATTTTGTGACACTAGTCTACATTGTTATTTTTAAAATGTACTTCTTCAATTTTACCAATCGTTTTATTTCTTAATAAATTCCCTATTATTTTTATATTACTCACTCCAATCATTGTAAACACTAGGTACAATCTCATTATGTAGAAAACACCACTACGACTATTCCATAAAATTACCAACTAGACATAATTTCAGAATCACATCAAAGCAAATTTTAACTAACATAAGACTAAAAGAAAACCAATGAAATTGTCTATGAAAAGTGCAGACTAAGACAGATATGACAAAATACTAGAATTCTGCTGATAAAGCTGAACTAAATAAACTAACTTACAAGTTGTGATGAGCTGTTAGACAAGTGAAAAACAAAACATTGAAATTATTTGTTGACACCAGATGACTACTTGCTTTAGAAAATTATAAAAAATTAAATAATCAATATTAAACCTATCCGGGAGCCGTGTAATTTTGATGTGGTGTATGGGCTCTTTATACTTTGTGATTGTTGTTAATTCTGTGAGGTGAGCAACACGAGTGCAAGATAAAGTTGGCTCAACTCTGGGTGCATTCTCTAACTTGTAGTGGGACAAGAATCGACTAAAGTCTAACCAACGAGAAGGGAAAGCGCGCCAAAACAACAAGGCTTTGCCAAATTTATCAAGACCGGATTTAACGTTTGCTAATAGTACCGACCGCACAACCGGCGCAAGCAACTGAGAATTTCAGTTCAGTTGATAAATAGCTTTAGTGGTGGTTGCACATATCGGCGCGTTTAATCAAACTTATTGCGTGTTTATACTTTTTATAGTCTGCTTTTATATTTATTAAGAAGACGTCTACACTAAACATTGTTTTACACTGTTTATAATTTTGTTGTCTAGTTCTTGCAAACTAGTTTTTACAAACAGTAGTGTTTTACAAACAATGTCGATTTCTACAGATTGTGCGGAGGAATTTATTCCAAAAAAGCGCTCAAAATTACGTGCATTTAGTAGTACGGAAAAAACCGTTGTATATAATTTTTATGTATCGACAATGGAATTCCGTCCTGAAGCTTCAATATCGAAAATAGTTAAACAGACTGCTTCTACCAGTGGAGTAGGTGAAGCTTTTGTGTACAGAATTATAAGGGAAAAGAAAAGTACAGAAGGATTTTCTCCACCGAAAAAGTACAAGCCGAGAAAAACCATACTGGACAAAATGGACAATATTGATAAAACTACTATATGAAATTGTACATTAATTTTTTTTCGAGATATCAGCTAAGATAAAGTTCTTGTAGCTATTAACGTCGAAGAAAGCATGCCAAATTTTAAACGCAGTGTTTTCATAAACTTCTAAAATCATTAGATTTTAAATACGTAGGTATATAGGAATGGAAACAATGCTTCCTTAGAAGAAGAGAATATTTTATGAGGCGAAATTTTTTAAAATCCGTTAAACAATTTTGGGTGGAAAACAGGAAAATAATTGTTTAGATGAAACGTGGGTAAATGCAGGATATACAAAATCTCTTGTGTGGGTCGACGAATTGGTGAAATCTTCCAGGTAGGCGTTTTTGTCAGGTCTTAGCAGGTTTCATAAATCCATTAGGCAAGGGAAAAAGACTAATTATTACACATATTGGTAGTGAAACAGGATTTGTAGAAGATGGCCTGAGGATGTTAGGACGAGGAAATGAACACAGACGGCTTTGAAAAGTAGTTTACAAATATTTTGTCCCTTTTAGAAAACAACTGTGTAGTAGTTTTCGATAATGCTAATACAGCTTTATAAAAAAATATGGTAGTTTTTACATTTATTATTTTAGTTTTGCTCTCCGAATAAATAAAGTTTGCGGTAAAATATAAAAGTGTTTGAAAAAAAGGAATTTTCTTTCTCATTCCATATGCATTGCAAAATGTATGTGCACATTTTTCATGTTTTTTCAACACATGGATTTGTAACCTATGCAGCAGACCTAAAATATAACAACTTGACAACAGCGCAATAGGAGGGCAATGGCCCGGCTGTGTCCTGGATGCATCTTTATCGTTCGACTTTTTTTTCAATATTAATTTTACTGAAGTTGAAGCAGTACAACTGTACACAGTGTTGTCAGTTGATTTAATATTAGCATTTGCTTCAAAAATACAAAAAAATTTTATGAATATGTGTGCCCAAGTTTATGACCAGGCCCGTTCCTAGGGTAGTGAGCGCCTGCGTGCAGGATTTTTTGTGCGCCCCCATATTATGTTTTTAAGATACCTATATCATAACATGTTCTTGTGATATGATTGAAAATATGATATGAATGTAAAAAGAAAAATAAAACGAATCATGTTTGAAAAAAGGTTTTATTTTCAAAATTAAATGAAGAAAAAAAGTCATTTTAAAAAAATATTATTATGTAAGTTAACAGTAAGAAAGAAAACACTCAATTCGCAAATTAATAAGGCATTCTGGAATATAACATGAAACAATAACGGAAAGGAGATACTCTCAATGCAAAAAAAACTTTTGTTTACCAAGTGAAAAATAAAACAAATATTGGAATTACAACATGACACGTCGTGCTTTCACAGATGCAAGCTCAGTAATCATTTCATTGTGATCAATGGCTTCACAAATTTTATTTTCAATTGAAATGACTGCCAAATCTGATAGCCCTTCTTGGCACATTGACGTTCTTAAATAATTTTTTGAGCTTTAGCTTTGAAAAACTCCTTTCGCCAGATGTCACCGAAATTGGAAGGGTCAGGAATATTCTTAAGGCTATAAATAGATTTGGAAACAAGGATTGTAAATTTTTCTTTGTTGTACAATTTAAAATATCTATGGGCGAATCCGAAATTTTGCCAGAGTCTGTGATTGGGTTAAGAACTTTGTATGACAGAATTTCATTATGCAAATCAAGACCATCAATATCTTTGCATACGTTTGCTGCATGTTGAATTTGTAAAGCTAAATCCAAATCCATACATGATCTTTTAATCACATCAGAATTTAGATTTTGAAAATTACCCAAAAATCCAAATACATCGTGTAACTTATCTATTCCCCCAAAGCGTCTTTGTAGGGATTGAATTGTGTCCAAAATTTGAAAATAAAAACTGATCTTAAATTTTTGTTTTGGATCGAATACTGTTTCATCTGTACCTTCATACGAAAATTGAAGCTTCGTTTTTCTTTGTTTAATAATGGAAATGTTTGCTCTACATCACTTTTTTCTGCTTCTGCTACAGCCTCATTCATGAAAATCTCGAAATGTTTGTCTAACCTTTTTTCAGTGAAATAAATAATAAGATTTTTTATTTCTGTATGGCATTCATTTAAAGTTGTATTTGGATTCCGGACCATTTTACTTACTATATTAATTTTTGTTAATACATCATGCCAAATTATAATAGAAAAAATGAATTTGAACGTTTTAGTTTTGTCTAATAGTGACCTTGCTGAATGTTTCGTGTTACATATCTCTTGAATTATCTTCCACCAAATCATGTAAATTTTTCCACATTTCGAGGAATTGAAACATAAGAGGGCGAATGACTTTGACTCTGCTTTCTCATCGTGTTTCACTTACTGATTTTAAAGTTAAGTTTGGTACATTCCTTTTTAAAATGTCCCATCTGTAGGGTGAAGTAGAAAAAAAATTGAACAACTCCTGAATAATTGAAAAAAAAACCTGCAGTTTCACATGAAATTTTAGCTGCATCATTGACACTTAAATTAAAAGTGTGAGCTGAACAAGGCAAAAACATTGCTCTGGATTAATTTTTAGAATCTGAGCTTGAAGGCCCACATGCTTGCCAGACATATTTGCCCCATTGTCGTTACCCTGACCTCTCATGTTATCAAGGTTTATTTCAAATTTTGATAATATTTCTTCTTTTAAAAAATTGAAAAGCCCTTCTCCTGTAGTATTTAAAACTTTGAAAAAACCCAGAAAGTGTTCTCTAATTTCGACTTCATATGGAGAACAATAAACGAAGCGAATTATGACCGTCAGCTGCTCAACATCGCTACAACTGGA